TTCAGGCTGAAGATCTCCGCCAGCTTCTGCGCCAGCTCCGCCTGGGCCTCCCGCAGCTGCTGCTTCAGGAGGCTGATCTCCGCTGTCTTCTGGCACACCTGGAGGGACACAGGATGGGCGAGAGCGGGTAAGGGCGGGGGGCGGGCGGCCGAGGACGCGACCGTCGGCGGCGGAGGGCACGGAAAGTTTATAGGATGCCTGGTCTCTCACCTCCCATCGGGCCTCCTCCTCGGGTCGGGCGCTAGGGTCGGCCTCTGGGAGGGCGCCGGGGGGCCGAGGCTCGGGGCCCAGGCCCTGCTGCGCCCGCAGCTCTTTGCGCAGCCGCCGCTGCTCCTGCTGGGCCACGAAGAGCTGTAGCTGGAGGTTGCGCTCACTGCGCTCTGCCTTCTGAGCCACCTCGTGCAGCCGCTCCACGTATAGGCGCTTCAGCTCAGCCAGCCACAGCCGCTGGCGCTCCTCCAGCACCTGCCGAGGGCAAGAGGCGCCTGCCACGCTGGGAAATCCGCACACGGCCCCGCTCCCATAGCTAGACCCCTGCACAACACCCCAGCCGTGGCTGGAGGGGAAGTGTCCCCAACACACGGCCCTCTCAGGGAGTCTCTCCTCCTCCCTTCCACCCAATTCCTGGCTAGCCAGGGCTGCCAGTGACACGACATCTCCATCACGTGGGGGGCGGGGGACTAGATCACTTCCATCTTCCTTACTCTCTTGTGGCCAGAGACACGTAGGTGAGCTGGCTGGGGCCCCTCCAGTCTTCCCTGCACCCCAATGCCAAGGGGCAGAACAGGACCCCAGGGTGTGGAAGGGGGACGCCCTCACCTGTGTGAAGGGGTTGGAGCCATCCTCATCACCAAGGCCCCTCTTGAGATCCTCACAGGTGTCAGGCAGCATGGCCACCACCTCCTCGGCGGTGGGGCAGGAGAACTCATAGGGGGGCGGTGGCTCAGGCAGGCAGCTCAGCATAGCCAGGGGCCCAGCCTCCTTGGGGACCCGTGAGGCCCGGTCCAGGGAGCCCCCTAGGTGGTTAATGTGGCCCAGCGAGGAGCTGAAGGGGCCTGGGCCGGTGCCAGGACTACGGCTGAAGCTGCCCCCGCTGGAGGAGTCGGACAGGCTGGGCTCGGGCTCGGGGCCACCCTCATCCAGGCTGAGGGCATGCAAGAGCTGGGCGCGGGCCTGTGCCTGGCTGGCCCGGGGCCCTGGGCTCAGTGGGGGGTGGCAGGCCAGTGTGTGCAGGCTGCCATTGCTGCGCCACAGCTTCTGGCCCTTGTGGGCCGCCAGGCTCTGCATGGACAGGAAGCCTTTCCCAGAGCCCGCCACGGGCTTGAACACCGATGGGCGGATGCGGCACTGCCAGGAAGAAAAAGGGCAGGTCTGAGGCCCCGGGCTGACTTCAGCTCTGCCCTCCGATGTCCCTACAGCCCCCTGGGATCCTCTCTGAGACTCTGGGGTGCATGTCCCCAGGGGGCGGTGACCTGTGACCAAGCTCAGGCCAGCCTACAGCAGGAGGGTCATGTCCCAGCCCCATCCAAGGACCCGGCTCTCCGAGGGGACCCCAAGCCCCCCCCCCATTCCCACCCTCCAACACTAGGGAGGGAAGTGGGCAGAGATGCACCTTGTCAAAGCGACCCCGCTCGGGCAGTGAAGTCTTGCTGAAGTCGCCAGCCCGAGGATGTTCCTGGTAGTAGAGGGTGGGGTAGTCAGCAGGCTCGTTCCGAGGGGCCCTCTTGGTGTTTTTACCGTCCTTCTTGGGGAGGTGCAGGTAGCTGAAGAGCTCACGCTGGCCCAAGCCCTTCCGGAGGAGCCCATCAGGCTGGCGGGAAGTCCGGGACCCCGCGAGTGCTGCCCGTAGCTCTTCGGGGGAGAAGTCCTGCCGTTCCAACAGGCTGCCCACGCTGCCCATGGCAATGCCGGCAGGGCCTGGGGCTGTGGCCATGAAGTTTCAACAGGGCGCAGGCAGCTGCTTCGGGGGATCGGGAGGCTCCATTAGGGGCAGGTGGGCATTTGCTGCCCAACTTCCCTGATCCCCTAAAACCAGGTACGTGTTCTCTGTGTCAGCTCCCTACCTGGCCCAGGCCCCGGAGGCAGCATGGGTCCTGGACAGAATCCAGGACAGGATTCCTAGGCTGGCAAGAGAAAGGGGGTAGAGGCCCCCAAGCCACCAGCCTGGTGCCCCAGCTGCAGCTACGGGCCAGTGTGATTGGGGGACATGGGGCAATAGGCCCAAAGCAGTGGGACAGGGCCCCTCCCAGGACTGGGCCAGCTGAGGACTCAGGCTCTGTGTGACTCTGACCTTGTTCACTCTCCTGCCAGGCTCCTCACCCAAATTGGAGGGGCGTGGCCTCTGGCTCCCCATTCCTTCTTTTTCTCCGAGGAGGGGGAAAACCCAGTTCAGCCCCTCTTCCTGCAGTGGATCAGAGTTCTCCAAGGGAAGCACCTGGCATGGGTGGGGTTGGGGGCTGCAGTGGGAGGGACACAAACAGGAAGGGCCTAGGGGAGGAAGGATGGCGGGAACAATGGCCAGTTTCCGGAACAGGTGTTCACGAAGTCATAGGGGCAGTGGCGGGAGACAGAGGGAAGGGACAGTGGGAGCCTCTGCCACCCCAAAACCCACCACCGGAGGGGGGGTGTCCCAGATCTTGACCCAGCGTGGGGCCAATCACGTGTGGGCCCTAGCTTCCTTGAGCAGTCTTATCACTCAGGGATGCTGGGAGGATGGGCTGAGATAACAGGACAAAGGGTCCATCCAGTTCAGGGCCTGGCCCATAGCCAGGGTCAACACAGGCTGCCTGAAGCCGAGCTCAGCTGCTCAGACATGACCTCCTCCCAGGCAGGCAGCCCACAGACCAGGTTAGGGACCAACTCCCACCTGTGCTGAGATCACACCCTGGAGGGCGGGGCCTGGCCCTAGTCCCCCTCTGGATCCCCTGTCCAGCCCAGGGCTTGGCACATGGTAGATGTGCAGACAGGACCTGCCGAATGAGTGAATGCCACCTTCTTCTCTGCCTCCGCCCCCCCATGAGCAACTGCTCCCATTCCCATACAGACACCCAGCCGGCGTGCAGCAGCTGTGCGCCCCCCACCCACCCCAATTTGCTTCCGGGACACCCACTCCCACCTCAAACAATGGTCGTTAGGAGGCTCCATCTTCCTCAACCATTTCCAGGTTTTGTGTTTGTGGAAGACAAAGCTCTCCGGGAGTGGGAGGGATGGGGGGCAGGGCCCTGCTCCCCACCCCCACCCCGTGGCCAGCTAATAGCCTCTGAGGAGGTCACAGGGCACACAGGGTCGGGGGACTCATCCAGTTAAGGAATCATAGGTGCTGGCCACCTCCAGCAACGCAGCCCTGCGTAGGGGTCTGAGTATCATGATAGAGCTGTTGTTCCTCTTTGAAGGCAAGGGCACTGGGGCTTCCAAAGGTGGAGTGGCTTGCCCAAGGTCACAGAGCTGGTTGGAATGAGATGCCTGTGATCTCAGCAGGATGGCTGTCGAATGTTTAGGGGGGGGCCCGGGGAGGATGGGATGGCACCCACAGCCCAAAGGGTTAGAACTGAAGTATCTTGCCTCCCAATCTGACACCTCCTTACCATGACAGGCGAACCCAGTGACAGACACCCATTGTGTCTGAGCACACTCAGCTCTTGTCGCTGCTTCTCAGGGAGGTGGACAGCCAAGAACCCGGTCTCCAGCCCTGTCCTCCCACTGTCTCTCCATGGGGACCCGGCCACTATGGCTTCTCCCTTTGCCATGCCTCAGTTGTCCCATCTCTGAAGTGGGTGAGACTGCCTGCCCCGTCTTCCTTTTGGGTTTCCATCACAGAGACAATGGAGGTGAAGGGTCTCAGGAACCAGAAGCCGAGTGCAAGCATGGGGGTGGGGATGGTGGCGGGGGTGCCGAATACGCCCACCTGCCCCCAAACACAGATCCTGACTTCCTGTCTCAGGGAGGGATAACAGGCACCCTTGGTTCCCCACAAAGGATCTCAGGTCCCAGGAGAGAGCCCTTGAACTAGAGGCAGTCATGGGCCAGAAGAGAACATACCTCCCCCCACAAACCGCAGTCCAGTCAGTGAGCAGCATGGTAGCTCCTGTGTTAGAGGACATAGCACGGACGGTCACATCCAACAGCACACAGTCACGGACAAGGTCACCCTCACAGCGCTGAGCACCCTCTGGGACACACACATGACATGCGAATGCTCTAGCACTACACTAGCAAGAAGACCCAGTTGTCCTACCAAGCCCCCAGGCTAGATGCAGAGAGGTGTGTGTGTGTGGGGGGGGGTGAGGGGCTTCTCTCCACGTGTGACCTAAGCAATTAGAGACAGTTGTGGAACTGGACGAAGGGAACACAGACAGCCCCTTCCTTTTGTCTTTCCCCAAGGCCCTCGCCCTCCACCCAAACCTTCCTAGGGGACTTCTCAGGCTGTATTATCAGCTCTCCCAGCAGGGCTGAGGCCCCGGGCTTCTCGAAGGCTCCACCCTGCCCAGGTCTCAGTCTGGGGACAGTCCCTTTTCCTAAAGGGGTCCATCCCACCTCCCCTCAACACACACATTCCTTCCCCGTTGCTTGGAGGCCCAGGGACTGGCCTAATCAGGCCAGGGCAGCTGTGCAGGCTGGGCTGGAGAGGATCTGGTGGGGGAGGAGGGAGGGAGGCAAGTGCCTTGCCGCTCCTCTGGGAACAGCAGAGCAAAAAGCAGGGCCTCTTCCGAATGCCTCCAGGGGCTCCTCTGCCCAGAGCTCAGTACATGCCCTGAGGCTCAGAGCTCCGCACAGAGCTGAAACCCGCCCCAGCCTCCCCACCACCATGCTGGCTAGGTTTGGGCTGGGTCATATTCTGCACGGGACCCAGCTGGCCCCAACAGGACCCCTGAGCTCCTGTTCCCCAACCCCTGGCCCCAAGATTAGCCAGCAGCACTGAAAGCCCTGGACACAGAGGGGCATCTCTTAAGGATCAACCCTTGGTGGAGACAGGAACACGAGGCTAGGGAGCCACCCTGGCCATGAAACAGAGACAGGACACGCAGGGAAGCACCCTGGCGTCCGTTAGTCAGCCTGACACGGGGCTCACCCCAGCCTCACAACACCTGGGAATACTGACATCCTCCCCTTTGGAAGAGGAAACTGAGGCCCAGGAGGTAAAAGCACGTGCCTGAGGTCATGTCCAGCTGCACTGGAGAAAGTACACGGCTCCTCAGGTTTAGAAGCCCACCCTGATGGCTCAGTTGTTAAGCATCTGCCTTCTGCTCAGGTCGTGATCCCAGGGTCCTGGGCTCGAACCCCTGTCGGGCTCCCTGATCAGTGGGGAGTCTGCTTCTCCCTCTGACTCTCCCCCTCCCCCCACCCACTTGTTCTCTCTCTCTCAAATAAATAAATAAATAAATAAATAATCTTAAAACAAAAAAAGTGACTTAAAAAAAACAAAGAAGCCCACCCTGACCCCAGTGGGCCTCTCCTCTAGATTGGCCCCTCCAAGAGCATGTGGGCCTGAAGCTCCCAGTCCAGCCTTGGCCGTGGTTAGCCCCTCCAGAGCCAGGCCCCAGGGGAGAGTCCCATCACCTGCTGGGGGATCAGCTTCACTGAAGGGAGTGTCTGCAGCTGCCCCTGAGGAATTGCGACTGGAATGTCCCAGCTCCAAAGGAGGGGCAGTGGGTGAGGGGGGCTCAGCGCCCTGATGGGAGAGGCCAGCATACCCCAGTTCCACCGAGACACCTGAAGAGGCCGAGCCCTGCATCTAACCCCAGAGGAGTGAGTCTTAGTATCACCACAGAGTCACATAGAGATGTATACCACTCCACAGTTCTCCGAGCCCTTTTATTTCATCATCTGAGCTCATCTCTATAACAGCCTAGTGAGGGGCAGGCAAGGAAACTGAAGCCCAGAAGCCAGTTGCCCAAGATCCCATAATGATGAACAATTCCAACTCCCTGGGCAAGGCCCTTCTCTACTGCTGTCCCAGCCAGGGGTCACCAGCTGCCTTCCATGGGCACACGCTGCAGTATATGTATGTCCGCCCAGCCCCCCACAGCTGCTTCCCCCAAGGGCATCTACAACCAGGCAGGTTTGGACCCCAGTCCCCTCAGCATGGAATTCCTCCTGCCTGCGCCTGGGTCAGAGAGAAATAGCAGAAGCATTGCTGCTTGGGGACTCGAGCCCTGGAAGCTGCTAGTTCTAGAGGCGGTGGCGAGAGCAGGCTGGCCGCATTCATTCAGTCTCGCACATACACACCCACACTCAGCCAGCCAGCAGGGGAGCCCTGCCCAGGAGGGCCCTGGGAGGAGGCTGATCACTGGGCCCAGGATGGCCTCCTGCCTCCGCTCCCTCCTTGGCTGAGCAGGGAGAGGACACGGGGGCCAAGGTCGCAGGTCAGCCAGGCTAAGCCCCAGATGCAAATGAGGAGAGCCCCAATCTGCACTGGGGGGCTGGGTGCAGGGTGGGAGGCGACAGGTCCCAGCTCAGTCCTCTTTCCAGACACAGCCAGGGTCCTGATGTCCTGGCCCCAGGCCGGCCCTCGCTTTGGCCAAAGGCTCTGGCCAGACTGGGATGGTGCTCCGGCCTCCAAGAACTGGTAGTGTGCCCACAGGACGGGGATCCCTGGTCTCTGGCAGCGGGCCGGCAGCTGCCGCCCTTACAGGACAGGAGACGGGAGCAGGAAGGGGGTATCCAGGAGGGGGCGGGAGAGGGGTCTCGTGGCGAAGGTGGAGGAACAGACGATGCTGGCATCCCCACGGAATTTCCCCGCCGGGAAGATTGTGGCGGAGGCGTGGGCTCCCCAGAACTGCGGGAGGTCAGCGAGCTACCTGGGGGGCGGGAGGGGGAGTCTCTTGCTGGCCCCTCCCTGGGCCTGCCCGGAGCGGCGGAGCCGGGGGGCCGAAGCCCGGGTCAGACTCCCGCGCCAAGGGCGCCTGCCCCACCTCAGCCGCGGCGCAGGGGTCCCGGGCCCTGCTCCGGGGAGAGCACATTTTGCAGGGGTTGCAGAGAGCAGCGTGACCTGCCGCCTGCCCCTCCAGAGGAGCGTCGCGGTCGGTCCCTGATCCCGCGCCTCGGTGCTTCAGTGTCTGGAAACAGGGAGCACCTGGGCGCACACCGCACCCCGCCACCCCCGCCCACTTTTCAGACGGGCACCTCGCCGGCCAAGGGCTGCGGCTTGGCCAAGGTCGCCGGGAAAGCGAGACCTCGGCGGCCCGCCCCACCCCCGAGCCCAGTCCCCGGCCCCCGGCGCGTCGCACTTACCATGCTGGCGCCGCTCCGCGCCCCTCGCGCGCTACGGTTCCCTCGCAAGGATTCGAACCCTCCCTCCAGCCACCGGCTCCGGGCGAGACTGCGAGGCGGCTCGGAGCGGCCGGGCGGCGGACGCCGGGGAAAACGCGGCCGGGCGGGCGGGCGGGCGGGCGCCGGAGCCGGATTGGCGAGGGAGGGACGCGCGCTCCGCGGCGCTCGCTCGCCTGGCCCAGAGGCGGAGGGAAAACCCGGCCTGACTCACCGGCGCGCCGCCAGCCCAGGGACCGGCCGGGCCCCCGGATGTGGGGGGCGGGGACGGGGGGCAACCCCCGCCCAGCGCGAGCCAACCTGAGCCCCGCCCGGACTCGCCGCGCCAGCCCCGCCGCGGCCCGCCGAGGCGCCCCGCGCCCGAGCCGCCCGAGCTCCGCTGCCGGCTGCGCCCCGCGCCGCCGCCGCCCCCTGCGCGCCGCGCTGATCCCCGAAGGGTCGGCAGCCCCCCCGGCGCCGCCGACGTGCCCGGAGGGCGCCCTGCCCGCCCCGCTCCTCCTCCTCCTGGCCTCGCCCGCCCCTCTCGGTTTCCAGAACTCGGCAGCTCCCGGAGAGGCGCGTTCCGTCCATCACCTCCCAGATCCTCGCCGCCTCCTCTTAGGTAAGCATTATTACCGGTTCAGAGGTGGAGCAAAATAGTACTCCGAGAGATGGAGAGATAGACCCGAGGTCTCTGGCTCCTGAGCGACTGAATTCGGCGCTAAGCATTTTATTTTTATTTATTTTTTGCCGCCAGAGCCTTCTAGGGGCAGCAAGTTCAGATGTCTTCAGGGGCCAGACAAATAATGTGAGTCAAACGAGTGTAAGACAATGCAGGAGAGATGGAGACAGACAGAGATGGACACTTGAAGGTATCCAGATTCAAGCAGTGAAAGTGCGTGTATTCCTCAAAAAGTTAAACCTAGTCATCCTATGACCCAGCAATTCTACTCCTAGGTATATATCCCCAAAATTGAAAACAGGGACCCAGGCAAGTGTTTGTACTCGAATGTTTGCCGCCCGACTCTTCACAGTAGCCAAAGGTGGGCGACAAGATCCAAATTGCCCATCCAGTGATGAATGGATAAACACACTGCGGTATATCAATGCGATGGAATAGTATTCAGCCATAAAAAAGAACGAAGTGGTCATACCTGCTACAACATGGATGAGCCTCGAAAAAAATGAGGCTAAGTGCAATGAACCAGACAGAAAAGGCCCCCTGTGGTAAGATTCCACTTAGATGAGGTAGGTAAATCCAGAGAGATAGGAAGCAGATTAGTGCCAGAGGCTGTAGGGAGAGAAAATGAGGAATGACTGCTTAATGGGCATGGAGTTTCCTTTTGGGATGAGGAAATGTTTTGGAACCAGAGAGAGGTGGTGGTTGCACAACCTTGTGAATGTACTAGATGCCTTTGAACTGTATACTTGAAAATGGTTGATTTTATGGTGTGGGAATTTTACCACAATGAAGAAGAGAAATTGTGTCCCCATGGATCATTCTGGGCCCATGGGTCACCAATTTGCAACCCCTTGTCTTTAGTGCTGTCCTTACCCATTTGCTAACGATGGAAGTGCCAAACTTAAGGGGACTCATCTCTAAGAAGACTCTCTACTACTCTGGATGTTAGCCCTCGAGGAGCACCCCAGTCTGGTGGGGTTACTCGCTGGGACAGATGAAGGTTCAGCACAAGGACACGCTTCACCTTTCGGGGGACCCGAGGAAAGGCCTCATTGGGGAGATGGATTTTGAGGTTGTACCTGACAGATGGGAAGCATTTCCATGGAGGAAGGGCCTCACCGTGGTCAGGAGCCTCTAGCTGGAGAAGGCAGGGCACATTCCGGGGAATGCAAGCTCATTAATTAGAAATAGGTGCTGGAGGGTGCCTGGGTGGCTCAGTTGGTTAAGAGACTGCCTTCGGCTCAGGTCATGATCCTGGAGTCCCAGGATCGAGTCCCACATCAGGCTCCCTGCTCAGCGGGGGGTCTGCTTCTCCCTCTGACCCTCTTCCCTCTCATGCTCTCTGTCTCTCATTCTCTCTCTCTCAAATAAATAAATAAAATCTTAAAAAAAATAAAGAAATAGGTGCTGGGGAGGGTGGCGCCTGGGTGGCTCAGTTGGTTAAGCCTCTGATTCTTGATTTCGGCTCAGGTCATGATCTCAGGGTCCTGGGATGGAGCCCCTAGTTGGGGCTTGCTTTGTCTCCCTCTTCCTCTGCCCTTCCCCCTGCTCATGCTCTCTCTCTTTCAAATAAATAAATAAGTCTTAAAAAAAAACCAACTATGTGCCAGGAGCTTCTGAGGTGTTGAGAGAGGGAGGTGTGAGGACCCAGCTGGACTTTGGGGTATTGTGTACCCAGGCCCTGTGTAGAGGTCAAGGCAGGGAGGCTGGACTATAGGGATCTCAGGGAACAGAAACAGCCACGCGGGTCGCCTGGGTGGCTCAGCCCGTTAAGCGTCAGCCTTCTGCTCAGGTCGTGATCCCGGGGTCCTGGGATTGAGCTCCGCCCCTCGGGCTCCCTGCTCTGCGGGGAGCCTGCTTCTCCCTCTCCCTCTGTTGTTCCCCCTGCTTGTGCCCTCTCTCTCTGTCAAATAGATTTTTTAAAAAAATTAGAAAAAGAAAAGAAAAGAAACAGCCACAGAAGGCAGGGGCAGTGGGGAGAGGAAGAGATGGAGAAGATTCATGAGATAGTTTGAATGCAGAATTGTCTTGTTTTGGCCAGAAATTACATGAGGAGAAGGTGGGGCATCAAAGATAAGTTTTGGTGAAAACTCAGATTCACCCCCTCCCCTTTTTGTTGTTACAAACATGGCAACTTATCCAAGATCATGACCCCCGAGTCCAATGTTCTTTCCCTGCACCAGGCTGCCAGAGGGAGGCAGGAGGGGAAGGATGTGCAGTGTTTTGGAACCTCCCAACGGGAGGGGTGTTTAGCACCGGGAGGGAAGGGGAGAAGGGCAGGAGGGTCCTGGCTGAACGGAATCCCTAGAAAGCGCTCCTGCAGCAAAGAAGGGCAACTTGCAGAGCAGAGGCCTGTTGAACCTGTTGAACTTCTCTGAAGAGGGCTGGGTGCAGAGTGCAGGGGGCTGGAGCCGGTGGGGGTGGGGGGGGGCAGGTGCACCAGAGCAGCCTGGCTCTATCCCTCTAGCAGAGCCCTCGGTCAAAGAAACAAAACTGTCCACGCCCTCTCCAGCCTGGACGAGGCTGTCTGTCTCCCACCTCTTGCACGGGCTCTGTGCTCCAGGCTGCCAAGAACACCCCACACCACCACCACTCCTCCCTGGAAGTTGGGAAGCCGGCCTGGCAGATGCTCCTTCCTGCCTGGCTTCTCTGAGCCTTTGGAGTTTGTCCTGCTCCCCCCCCACCCCCGCCATGGGGAGTGCAGGGGCCCAAGGGGACCAGCTGCCCCAGGGGAGAGGCAGCTTTGGTCCCAATCCAAAGAGTGCCTCCTTGTCCACCTCCACATACCCTGTGCCCTTCACCTTCATGCCCTCCTGCACAGATTCACAAGCACATACCTTAGGGCATAAACCATAGAGCATTCACATTGTACCCTTGGGTCTCTTCTGTCCAACCTCCTCTGATGGAAAAAGTCCCCCAAACACACATCAGAGCTAGTTCCTGGCAGAGCTGGCCCTGGGAGCTGGGTCTCTTGCCTCCTAGCCTGCCAGGTTCAGCCACAACGCCCAGATGCCAAGGCCTGAGGCCCTGAGGGCACCAGGCCAGGAGAAAGGAAGCAAGCTCCGTGGCTGCAACCACTTCTGGAATCAGCTAACCTTGGACCATTTACTTTCTGTCTGTGCACCTCTGTTTTCTCATCTCAAACAAGGGGCTCGTGTGAAATAATGTCTGCAAAGCATGCAACGCGGCTCCTGGCAGATGGTAGGCATCTGAACATGTTAGTTTGTCCTTCTCCCTTCTGATGGGAAAAGGAGGAAAGATTGTCAGAAGGACAGAATGCTTCTTGGAGCCCGTCTTGAAGTGGCTGGCCCCCACCCAGCATGCACTTGTGGTGCCTCGGGTCTGTCTCCCTGGGCGAGGATGTGCATGAGACTGACCGGGACTCTAACATCCAGGAGCCGCTCGTGAAACCTTGGAATGGTCCCCTTGACTCTGGCTGCCCAGGCTCCCAGCTGTCGCCCACCCTGCCCCAGAGGGTGCATCCCAGCCCACGCATTCCGTCCCCAGTCTCCCCTGCTGGAGCGGTGGCATCCCTAGCTTCAGGACCGGTCCTGCAGCTCCTTCGGGCCTGACCCCTGCCCCGGCCCGGTGTGCCTCTGCCCTGGGGGCTGCCTCAGTGTCCTCATCTGTACTCGCCAGTCTTGGGGAGAATGCATTAAGGGCACCAACTGTGTCCCTCCTCCCACCCCCGCCCCCATCCGCTGTTACTGTGGCAACACGAGTTGCAGTGCAGATTTGTGGCTCATCTGTCACCCTCAGGAGACAGCAAGCCCCGAACACACAGCGACCGGCCCCCAGTCTATGTCCAGACTCCCCCAGGGCCTCCTCCAGGACCTGACGGTTGGCTGGATTCAGCTCCAACACACCGTCTGCAAAAAAGCCACTTTGTGGCATTGCGACTGTTGGGGTCAAGCTGGTAGGACCAAGTGCGGCCGCCCTGCCACTGCACCCAGGGAGACGTACCCCCCACCCTGGGGTGAAAGTGGACTTCCGGGACCTGGACGGCCCTCCCTGAGTCACCCGTACCGGGGAGGAGCCTTTATTCACCCCTGCTGCCTGCCCTCCCCCAGTGACCGGGGCAGCCCCAGGCTGCGGGTTAGGGTGGAAGCTAAGAGCTGCCAGGGCTTGCTCGGGTGCCTGTCCTGGGGCAGAGAGCTCAGACCTGCAGGAGCCAGCTGGGACTGCAGTGCCAACGCCGCCCCATGTCGAGGCCGCCCGGCTGGCCCACTGGCGGGTCCCCAGAAACCTGGCCCCAGGCCCGGCTGCCACCCGCATGGAGCTGGGAAGACCTGGCCTCTCCCATCCCTCCATCAAAGGGAATTACGGGTGGGACGGGGTGAGGGGAGTATTAAGAGAAGCCTGGGGAAGTCACTGCAAAACTGCACATCAACAGGATGAAGGTGTTCTAGAAATCAGTTGCACCACAGCACGGATGTGCCTAACACCGCCGGACTGCACGCTTACAAGTGGTTACCATAGCAAATTGTGTGTTATGTGTATCTTACCACAACTGAGAAAATGTACAAAGGGAGGAAAAAAACATCAGGGTATGGGACGCCTGTGTGGCTCAGTCGGTTGAGCATCTGCCTTCGGCTCAGGTCATGATCCCAGGCTGGGATCGAGTCCCACATCAGGCTCCTTACTTGGCAGGGAGCCTGCTTCTCCCTCTGCCTCTGCTGCTCCCTCCTGCTTGCGCTCTCTCTCTCTCTGACAAATAAGTAAAATCTTTTTTAAAATTTTTTTAAAGATTTTATTTATTTATTTGAGAGAGAGAATGAGAGAGAGAGAGCACATGAGGGGAGGGAGGGTCAGAGGGAGAAGCAGATTCCCCGCTGAGCAGGGAGCCCGATGTGGGACTCCATCCCAGGACTCCGGGATCATGATCTGAGCCGAAGGCAGTCGCTTAACCAACTGAACCACCCAGGCGCCCCAAATAAGTAAAAT